ACACAGAGAAGATCTATATGCATCCTATGCAGACATATATAATATACTGAACACAATAACTTGCCATATCATTCTTATCTAATCAGACTACTATGTCTTGAGAATAATGCAATATATAAAAAAAAATATTATATGAGAGAACTGATGGTAAGGAATTAGTGTTCTTTCTGTTGGGTTGGATGTTGTTGCTTTGATTTCTCTCTTGGGCCATTGTATTATCCTGCCTTTAATCTTTGAGTTTTGGTTGTTTTTATATTTGTGAGTTTTTATTATGGTGTTCCATGCGTAACACTGTTGTGAGTACTTTTTGTAGGGCTGGTCTTGTCTTAGTGAATTCTCTGAGACTTTGCTTGTCTTTATTTCTACTTCATATATGAAGCTTAGTTTTGCGGGGAATAAGATTCTAGACTGGGCATTGTTTTGTTTCAGAAGAGTGAGAATGGGGCCCCAGTCTCTCCTTGCTTGTAAAGTCTCAGTAGAGAAGTCTGGTGTTATTCGAATTGGGTTTCCCTTGTATGTTACTTGCTTCTTTCATCTTACAGCTCTTAGAAGGGCCTCTTTAGTTGATATTTTGGTCAGTCTGATGACTGCATGTCGTGATGTCTTCCTGTTTGCATTGAATCTCCCAGGGGTCCTCTGAGCTTCTTGAACTTGTATATCGAGATTTTGAGCAAGGCCTGGGAAATTTTCTTCTATTATATCTTCAAACAGCTTGTCCAACCCGTGAGCGTTGTCTTCTTCCCCTTCTGGTGACCCTATGACCCTCACATTAGGTTTCTTCACATAATCCCACATCTCTTGTAGGCTTTGCTCTTTTCTCTTGTTTCTCTGCTCTATCTCTTTGACTGTTTTATTTAGTTCAAAAGTGTTATCTTCAATCTCTGAAATTCTGTCTTCTGTTTGATCTACCCTGTTCTTAAGACTTTCCACTGTATTTTGTAGTTCCCTAAATTGATTCTTCATTTCCAGGAGTTCGGTTACACTTTTCTTCATTGTGTCTATTTCTTTAGTGAACTTCTGTTCTAGGGCCTGGAGGCTTTTTGTGGGTTCTTTGTGTTGGTTATTGAGTTGTTCTTGCAGGTCGGTGAGTTTTCTTATGACCCACATATTAAATTCCTCTTCTGTCATTTTGGTTGCCTGATTTTGGTTTGCATCCATTTAGGGGGCTGGTGCTCCTCTTTCGAGGTGTGTTTTCCATTTGATTTTTCATATTTCTGGAGTTACTTCGCCGATTTCTTCCCATGTCGATCAGTTGTTGTTTCTTTTCTTTAGGTTTTTGTTGGGTATTCACATGCCTTGTTTAATTTTTGAACCGGTAGGTGGTGTCTGTGGGTGAGATTTGAACTCTCCCTGTATAATGAGTCAGTAGGTGTCATGAAAAGGCTGTGCAGGATGTCCTCCCTGTCAGTAGATGGCACTTGCTTGGAGGAACAGGCTACACTGTTGTTTTTGTGTCCTGTTATCAGCTCTTGTTTCTGTAGAGAGGCACTCTAGTGCCTCAGGTGGTCCATGGGGCCCTGGTACTTTCAGGTGTGTCCTTTTCTCCCCCTCAGTGAGGACTGGTCTAGGAGTGAGTCTGGGTGGAGCTGGGTTGGGTAAGTCTGCCCTCAGGCACCACCAATGCCGTTAGCAGGGGTCAAAGTTCTGTTCTCTGCTTCTAGGCAAAGCTGCCAGGGAGGGGCTGGATTGGCCCCACTCAGCCAGAGAGTCTGCGTGTGGGGTGGGGCTGTCCGAGACCCGCAGTCTGGAGCGGGCCTCACTTCTTTCCACCCTCCCCAACTCCGCAGCTACTCCTGGGCCTCTGCCAGCAGGCCAGACCACATGCCACCAGGCCTCCCCGGACTGTGATGCCGGCGGTGAGGTTCCCTGTGCAGGAACACCACCTGGGCTGGGCGTATGGCCTCCTTTTGGGAGGAGGGTTGCCCTCTAGGACGCTGATCTGCCCCTGAAGACACACACACCTCAGTAGCCTGTTCACGTATATCCCTTCTGTGCCCCGGGCAATGCGAGGACCTCGGTGCACAGGATCTGGTCTGCAGGTCTGACCTCTGGGCCCCAGAGTTCAAAGTATACCCCCACCAGGGAGTGGAGTGCCGGTCCCAATTCACCCACAGGGAGCCAAGCTGGGTCTATGTCTCTCAGCCTCAGGGTCTGCCCTGTTCTCCTGGGATCACCGTGCCAGCAGCACCTGGCAGGGCTGGCGGGTAGAGAGCTCACAGTCTGAGTTCCCCTTAGTCTGCTGTAGGGCCCCAAAAGGGAAGGTCCTGTTCCCTGTAGGTGCCTCCGGCTGATGGCTGTACTGTCTTTCTGGGCAGCCGTGGGTAGGGTCGGGGGAGGGGAGAAGGAGGCAATATGGTTCCTGCCTCGCGGCTCGGGTCTGTGCACAAGGAGGTGCCCCATGGGATTTGGGAGCCTGGTGCCGCGTCCGCTACAGGCTTACCGGTCGCTGGCGGCTGTCGTCTCTGGGCTGGTGTCCGCAGGTCTCTCCACCCACTGGGGAGTCCACCAGCAGTCCGGGATGCAGGGGAGGGGAAACGGCTTAACCACCTACCCTTCCCGCTGGCCTCCGGGCTGCTCTGGTGGTCTCAGCTTCCAGTTCTCCTCCGAAACCTCCTCCCTTGGAGTCTCCTGGGGTCTCAGGTACCCCTCCTTCCAGCCCTCATCCCCTGTATGCTCGTCTTCTTGCTTTTTTTTTTCTAATTTCTGCTAGAATCTGTCTTTTCTGCAGAGACACTCTGTCTGGCGGTGTTTCTCGTCCGCCATCTTGATCCCTCTCCCAGGATAGTATTCTACATCAATTTCGTATTGTGGCAAAATACTGATAACTTAAAATTTACTTTGTTAGCAATTTTTAAAGTAATACTAAGTCTTGAACATAGGGAGTATAATTTCAAAATTATTTATTTTTTTAAAACTTGAAAAATATGTTACCTAATATTTAACATATCAACTATTTTTAGATGCACAGTTCACTTATTAAGTACATTCTCATTCTTTTTCCATAGGATCCACTATTCCTCTCCCATTCTCCCATTTTCTTTTCATTTTGAAAAACTGAAACTCTGTACCCAACAAGTAGTAAATCCCATTGATCCCCAATGCAGCCCCTGAAACCACCATTCCACTTTCTGTTGCTGTTGACTGAACAGCTCTAGGAGCACAATGTTAGCGGAGTGATATTGTTTATCCCCCGCTGTGACTGGCTTGTTCCACTTAGCATGTTTCGAGGTTCATCCGTGCTGATGCATGTGTCAGAATGTCTTTCCTTTTCAGCGCTGAATAACATTCCATCACATGCGTCAGCCATGCTTCGCTCATTCATTCATCCTTTCTAGTCACTGCGCTGGTTCTACTCTTGGGCTATTCTCAGTGATCCTGCTGTGGACACAGGCGTACAGACATCTGTTTGTGGCCCCCCTTTCCATTATTCTGGATACGTAACTAGAAGTAGCACTCCTGGGCCATACGCTAATTCTTTTTTTTTTCCAGAAACCACTGTACTGTTTCTCACAGGGGCTGCATCATGTCACAGTTCACTGTCAAAAAAGGAAACTTTGTGTGTAAGTCAGGCTCACATGAACGCCACCGTGGCACAATGGAGGTGAAAACCAGCGTGCTCACCAGCTTACGTGGGGCCCGGGGCCTCTCCATCCTCCAGGGTACGCCACTCTTGCCCGTCGTGCCCGGAGGTGGCGCACCAGTGCACGCATTAGGGCCTGGAAGATGGATATTCAGCTAAGGTTGACTGGGACCTTCTAGATCAGTTGCTGTGAATCTCCTGTTATTTATGAAAAAAACAGGACTTTGGAGGTTTTCCTGCTATTTATGTTTCAGTTTGATTATGTGGCACTTAAGTGACTGCAGGCTGGGCATGGTGGCTCATGCCTATAATTCTAGCACTTTGGGAGGATTGATTGAGCTCAGGAGTTCAAGACCAGCCTAAGCAAGAGTGAGACCTATCTCTACTAAAAATAGAAAAATTAGCCAGATATGGTAGTGTGCACCTGTAATCCCACTACTGGGGAGGCTGAGGCAGGAGGATCGCTTGAGCCCAGGAGTTGGAGGTTGCAGTGAGCTAGGCTGACGCCACAGCATGCTATGCAGGGTGACAAAACAAAACAACACAAACAAAAAAACCCAAGTGACTGCATTTTAATTTTATCTCTTGGGTGTGTGATGGTTACTTTTTTATCTTCGAAAGGAAAAATATTTCTTTCATTCTTCAATAATCACAGTGACTTAATAGTGGGATGCGTGTGCCTGTTGGGCACTGCACAATGTCTCAAACTTCAGAATTAAACTGAACCATGCCATCCTCCCTTCCTCATCCTCATTGTTTCTACTTGCATTTCTTCACAGCAACCACCTGCAACCAAGCATCCGGAAGATACGATGTCAGCGAAGAAAGTGTAGAGAGATTTAATGTTGAACCTGTTGAAGCTGGTAATTCAGGTAGTATCAAATGCTAGATTTTGGAGATTGCTGTGATTCTTTGAGATTTAAAGTATCCAGGGTGCCTCAGCAGACAGTTGCAGCCACAAAAAAAGAAACAGCAGGAATGCAGTAGGTTTACACTGGAGGGGGAGAGGATGGAGGAGCTGGTCTGGTTGCCAAGCAACGCTCAGTATCCTTGGAGATGAGTCTCCAGGAAATTAGAGAGAACCAAGCAGTTGGGGAGGGGCTGCTCTGCCCCAGGCAAATGCAGCTGCAGAGACCAAGAAGGGCGAGGTGGATGCCCCACAGTGTCTTTAATTGATAACCTCTCATTTTCATGTTCAGAAGGTCTCCATTTATAATTTCCTGTCTGTTATTTGCATATCTCTTAGGCCAGTAGTTCCCAACATGTAGCTCAAGGATCTTCAAGAGAATCAAGACCCTTTCAGGGTGTCCACAAGTTCCAAACTACTTTTCTAGGGTCATTAAGATTATATTTTTCTTTCTTATATTTTGTGCATGATATAAAACTTCAAGTGTTTGAATTAAAAAGCAGATCGGAGAATCCACAATTCTTCTACTAAGGACATTAAAGGGTTTTGCAAAAATGTAAAACAGTACTACCTTTATTACTAAGTTTTTGTTGGAACTATTCATAAAATATAGGCTAGGTTAATATGTAATAGATTTGTGGCTTTATAAGTAAAATGTGACATTTTTCCTGCTTTTATTTGTAATATAATAAATATAATAGATATCCACCATACCGAAAGTAGTTCTTTGGGATTTTCTCAATAATTTTTCAGGGTATAATGGGGTTCTGAGATGATAACATTTGAGAATTACTGTCTGAGAGTTTACCTCGGTTAAATTCCTAGCCACAGTGTGTAACCCAGGTCTGTCCGAATCACCCATTTTCCAAGCTTCGTCCTTTAATAAACTCAGTGAAGGACCTTCAGTATCAAGTGGGGCTGGGCGGTAGTTCCTGAACTTCCAGAGATCTCCCCTCGTGTTGGATACGTTTATAATTCCCCAATGAGAATGTGGAATGTACATCCTCAAGTTTCCAAACCCCATTCCCAACATTTATTATGTGGGTGATTATGGACAAGACACCTGCCCCACCCCCAGCCTCATTTTCTTCACCTGGAAATGGGAGGGTGGGGTTGGATAAGAACTTGACAAAATGCCCAGTACATTCTAAACATTTGATAAATAATAGCTAGGGTTTTTGTTTGTTTGTTTTTTGCATTTCTACAGTAAATACGAATTACAGCTTTCATTGAATGATTATGGAGAAATGAGAATGAGACCAAATGGAGCGTTGTTTTCCTTGGCAACTTTCCTCCCCACCAGTCTGTCTGCAAGTATGTGAACAATTCCACTCTTTGTGCTGTCAGGGTGTTGCTGATTGGATGTTAAAGCTTGTTGCTGATTGGATGTTAAAGCTTGTTGCTGATTGGATGTTAAAGCTTGTTGCTGATTGGAGATTTTTTGAGTCCTACCAAGGGTATAAAAGCAGGAGGAGAATAAGGAAGGGGGAAGTGTTACAGCTAGCCTTTAAATGTAGCTAGTGTTACAAGGGAAAGTACGCTAGATTTAGATTTCTTGATCCCCGTAAGACCTGGTGACACGACTGATCGTTTACCAGCTTCCTCCACCACACCATGAACCTTGTGAGAGTTGGGCTGTGCCTTAAGAGTCCGCAGCACCAGCATGCTGCACCCAAAGCAGGCAAATGCCCTGGCTGGGCGCTCGGTTGGAGCCCCAGCACAGCCCAGCATGGACCAAGACCTGGCCGTGGTGCTGAAGGGCCTGTGGCGCTCACAGGCCCACTGACAGGAAAGGGAGGTCACGGACGCGTTACTTGTGCAAAGGTGACGCTTGTGGAATAATGCGGGCCCACACCTTAGTGTTTCATAAACAAGAGGAGAAAGCCCCCATTGGGACTTTTAGGAAGGCTATTTATGGATTTCTTGCATCACTCAATGGTCACTTAGCATGTGTCACATGTGTCAAGTGTTAGGAACTCCGGTGAGGACAGAGGAAGCAGACGGAGAGGATATGGATGTGACGTGGGCTCACAGCCCCTCACGGTCTGCGGGCGTGTGGGCGGTGCTGAGACGGCCGTTGCAACGCTGCCGCCCTGTCTCTCCAGTGGTCTAGACAGGGTGTGTGCACACTGTGTGTCACTGCTAAATAAGCCGGCTTTCTTGGGACCCTGGCAGAATTAAACTATATTGAGGATGGGCAAGAAGAAAGGGGGAAATATGGGAGGAAGAGAGGGAAAATAGGGAGGGTGTAATACGGAAGAATGATGGAGAAAAAGCCAAAGAGAGGGGGCAGAGTACGTTTGGACAGAAGGAACTTTTAGGAAAGAAACAGAGGCAAATGGTTCAGCTCCAGCCATGCTGGCCCCTGTGCTGCCCTTGCACGAGCTGCCACAGGGCCTTTGTGCATGCCGTTCCTCTGCCACCCCTGGGCTGCACGCGGCCCCTCCCTGTCTCCATTCAGGTCTGATCAGGGTTGGGCCTCAGGGATGCTGGCCTGGACTGCTGTTCCCGGAAGTCCTTCATGCACCCCCCTCACCCACCACGAGGATGATGCTTCTTTTATTGCGACCTTTACTCTGTCCTCCAGAGTAAAGGAGACACGCATTTGGAAAAAGGTGGATTTCATGGACCTACAGTTTGGGGTTTCTGCTGGTGCCAGGAGATCGGTACTAGAGATCGAAAATGCCTGAGGGACAAAAACAACAGCTATACCTGATCCCCTGTTAATCGCCATAAAAATATTCAGTTCCCCACGCTGCTTGGGAAATAGGGATAAAATGACAACGGGCACGAGAGAGTTGGGGTTTGAGGATGGAAAAGCTGGTGAGCAGGAGGTGTTGGAGGGCGGTGGGTGGAGGAGCAGGTCCTGTTTCCAGGCGGAGCTCAGCATCCTGCGAGCTGAGTTACCCTGGAACCAGAGAGAGAACAGGTAGCGGGGGAGGAGTTGTCCCTCCCCCACCACGTGCAGCTGTAGGGGTGAGGAGATCGCAGGAGAGTCAGAGCCCAGTGGGGACGGGCGATCCAAGAGTCACACAATGCAGCACACGAAAGAAGGTCAAGTGTGTGCGTAAGGACGTGATTCTAGCAATTTCCCACAGCAAGAGTTCTAGGAGTGGGGTGAAAGTCAGTGGGAAATGGCTGAATGAAAGGGGCGCTTGTCCCTGTGGAATGAAGGGTGCTTGTATTAGGTGAAGAGAAGGACCTGCTGGGAGGTGGGAGGTGACGTTGCAGTCGGGATGTGTGAGCTGAGGGACGGTGTGATGGATGTCCTTATTGGTAATGACAAGGCTGACGGGAGTGGAGGGTTAATGGAGTTTTGGTGAGAAATTTTGAGGAGACTAGAGCAGTATGTACACAGTGAGAAGTGCTGGAGGAATAATCCGTTATATTTCTCACCTAAGCACTATTGAAAATTAGGGCATGGGCCGGGCGCGGTGGCTCACGCCTGCAATCCTAGCACTCTGAGAGGCCGAGGCGGGAGGATTGCTCGAGGTCAGGAGTTTAAAACCAGCCTGAGCAAGACCCCGTCTCTACTATAAATAGAGAGAAATTAGTTGGCCAACTAAAAATAGAGAAAATTAGCTGGCATTTTGGTTGGTGCTGCCTTATCCATGATTTTCACTTTTTGAGCAGAGAGATTTGCTTACCAGTGAGTCTTTACTAGCTGTTCCTCATCTTTTAGCGGCAATGAGCCTGCTTCAGAAAGATGGCTGAGGGGGGGAAGGAGGGGGGGGAGGAGGGAGGAGAAAATTTTAGGCATTGATAAAGTTCTTTAGTCCAGGGTGGGGAGGCTGTTTTTCCTTGGTTTCTAGGGGATGTTTGAGGCTCACCCATTGTTCCAGCTTGGCCTTCCAGCTGCGGTTGCCATAGTCCTCCTTCAGCTTGTGGACAGCAAAGTTTTCCAAAGTGTCCCTTTGGGGGGCAAATCAACCCCCAGTTTGAGGAAACCCACAGATGTAATTGAAGTTATAATATTTTTCACCGAAATTTTAGAAGGAACAGTGGCATTGGTTAGGGGGAACAGCGTTGCATTTTTCCCCAGGGAGGATTCAAGATAAACCATCGGCGGTTTAATGTGTAATGGTCAGGCCCGTTTGCCCCTTTTATTTCCTTCTATTGTATTTTATATATGAGAATGGTTTTTTTTCTTACTCTGTTGGCCAGGCTTCGGTTTCTGGAACTTCCGTTTGGGGCCTCAAGTGGATCCTTTCCTTGCCTCAAGGCCTTCGTCAGTAAGGTGGATTACCGTCTGACAGGGCCAACCCAGTGTCTGGCTTTTTTTGTGTTGTCGGTTCTGATTGATGAGACAAATCTGGGTTCCTCGCTGAACCCTGGAGGGGATGCGCCCTCCCTGAAGCTGGCCAAATTTTTTTTTCTAAGGGTAGTACAAGCAACCCTTAACTTGCGAAGTTGTGGCTTTTTCATGGGCACCAACAAAAAAACCCGAATCCCAGGCTTGTGCCCACAAAACCAATTACTTTTTGGGGCTTCTTTACAACCTCTAGTTTCCACTATTCCACCTGTTCCTAACACCCCAAAGGGCTGGGCGCCAGCAAACCCTTGGGGATATTGTTTTTTTTTTTCCCTGGCTTGCCCCAGTTAAGCCAATCCTGCGGCCGGCTGCTTGTTTTTGGCCTCACCTTGCCCCTTTCCCGAGGATTTCCATAAATAGAGGTTCCAATACCCACACGTTCCCCACCTCTTTCTGCCTCTTTGATAGGAAGGACCCCCAATCTATTTCACGTGGTTTCCGTGAAAGTAAAAGACAGGGTCTTAATTATTTTAATTTCCCTCAAAGAAGACACCCTTAGGCGCTTATTTTTTCCAGGGGCATGTGCTTATTTTTTTTTAAGGTTTTAACAGTTAAACAAAAAAACAAATTCTTAACAATGTTATCTCGAATCATTAGTGAGTTTCTTATTTTTCTGGAAACATTCATCGGCTCACTCTCCAAAATCCCGAAATCCATCCTGAATGTCTTGCGAACCTCTATTTTCCCTTTTAGACCACCGGCCCGATCTCTTCCCGTGGCAAGCCACAGACGCTTGTCACGGGGTGGATGAGGAAGGCTGCTCGCTCGTCTTCCCCGCCCGCCGCCGACTTCGCAATAGGGCTGCTGCAGACGCGCTGCGTGGCCAGCGCCCCGTCACTAGGCTCATTTTTGGGGTGGGGCTTCTATTGCGCAAATGCTTAGACATCCTGCTAGGGCTTGTTTTATGGGTAGGTCTTATTTTCGGGGAAACATGGTACCTGCTTCTGCAATTATGTTTACGAATTATGTTAGCCACCTGAGACCCCACCCCTCAGAAGACCCTCATCAACTTAACACTAACCTATTACCTGGCTTCTGCAATTGTATCAACCACCTGAGACCCCACCCCTCAGACCACCCCAACATAATAAAAGTGGAAAAACTAGGTAGACGCGGCTCAGAACTTGGTGGCGAGTGCCCTCTGAGCCCACTGGCGAATAAACTTGATTCTCTGACTCTCCGTGTGCCACTCGGCTTGTGCTCGGGACCCGCTGCAACACCCGCTGTAACATCTTGACTGTCACTTGTGCTTCCTGGGTGGTTCCTCTTGGCTTAATAAGCCCCTCTTCTTGTGAATGTGAGTAACAAGCTATTTTCTCAGTGCCAGTGGTGTCCTTGATCTGTTCTATTGCAAAATATTCTTTGCAAAATTTTATAGTTCCTGAAATTTGTTCATGTAATTATGAGCCGTATTTTGCACCTATCCCAAGAGAACCCAGAAGCGTGTCCTCATCGTGCGTGTTCTGTTGTGCCGTTGAAGAGAACTTCACGAGACGTTCATTTGAACAATGGGGCTGGAGCGCGGGCAGCTCTCCCTCTCCCAGAGCCTCCTTTTAGGGCCCTGCCCAAACGTCCAATGGCCAAGCCCAACAATGGTGAAAAATAGGGACTCCTCCCCTGGGAGGTGCCCAGGCCCCTCTCCTGGGTGCTCAGGGACAGGATGGGGAGCGGGTGGTGGAGCCGGGCTCAGGCCAGACACCTGGAGACGTCCCTCCCGAGCCCAGGGTCTCCTCTGGGAAGTGCGGACACTCCTAGGGCCACGCTCACAGCCAGGGCTGGGAGGGCCGTGAGGCTCACTCCGCACCCGGCGCTGTCCAACGGGAAGAGCAGGACGTGAAATCAGCCCGCACCCTCTCTCCCCACCAGCTGTGCTCCTGGCGGGCTGAAGGTCCCCGCCTGAGTATAGCATTGCTGTTTCCGAAATCATAAAGCCTATCCTGGCTGTGTATGCAAGCAATGTAATTTGGGGAAAAATCTGATTTGACAAAAAACCCCACACAAATATAAACACTCTCATTTTAAAGTACCTTATTACGTTTTCTCTTTCATTTGATGCAATGTCTATTTTATCAATTGCCTTTCTGTCTCTATATGGCACTTTTCAACAGTGGACAAAACCAGGCTTTCTTTTAAACCTTTTTTAAGGACAATTTTTAATTGTGGAAAAAATACATCTAACACAACATATACTATGTTAAGCAATTTTTAAAATAATATTAACTCTTGAATATAGGCTTTATATGTTTTTAAATCATTTATTTTTTAAATCATGGTAAGATACACGTATCTTAATATTTAACATTTTAGCCATTTTTGGTTGTAGTTTACTTATTGAATACATTCACATTGTCCTGCCGCAATCTCCACTGTCCATCTCCAATATTCTTTTTATCTTGAAAAAATGAAACTCTCTACACATTAACAACAAATCCCTATTCCACCTTCCCCCAACCCTTAACAAACACCATTCTACTTCCTGTTCTATTCATTGACAACTCTAGGAACACTGTATAAGTGGAACCATATGATTTATCTCTTTCTGTGACTGACTTTTTTCACTTAGCATAATGTGTCAAGGTTAGTCCTTCCTGTAGCGTGTGTCAGAATGTGGCTAAATAATGTTCCATTATAAGTATGTACCAAATTTTGTTTATCCATTCATCCTCTGATGGACACTTGGGTTGTTTCTACTTTCGGGCTGTTGCCAGCAGTGCTGCTGTGAGCTGGGCGTGCGAGTGTCTGTTGGGGTTGCTGCCTTCAACTTCTCTGGGCATATATTCAGAAGGGGCGTTACTGGGTCACACGACAATTCTGTTTATTATATTTTCAGAAACTACTGTACAGTTTTTCACAAGGGCTGCATCTCCCAGGCCCACTGTCAAAAAACAAGATGTCCACAAGTTTAATTTAATGACCGAATTGGCTCTGCCATTGGTTCATGAATCAGGACACAGCCATCTAGAAATAGAAAGGTTCTCTCTCGGTGACGCGGAACAACAGTCCATTTTTGGAAAGCAGCTCGAGCAGGAACAAAGAAATAGCACAACACAAAAAGGTGGATTGGCTACGATCAGGTTACTGTAAGATACTTTCTTTGCAAGGGTGAAAGCAGAGGCAACTTCTTTACCTTTGTGGGGATGAGGGGAAACTTCCTCTTTGTCCCCAGAAAGTTCACTGAAAGAGCAACTCAGAATTAAGGCAGATTAAGAAGAGGAAGAGGTTTATTTATCATACGCAGGGAGGAGAGTCACAGAGTGGTCACCAATATCCCCACGGGGTCCAGGAACTTACATACCCTCCTTTTAGAGGGGAGATGAGGAATCGAGGTGATTCTGTTTAGGGACAGCAAATGGTAGCCAGGGAGGACGAATGGATGGGGACCGATTGACTTGTGAATCAACCTGAGAGACAGATATGTTTGAGATGATTTGGGTCAGGTCTGGCTGCATTCTTGATCTTTCTTCCTGCAATCTACTGAGATAACGGAGATGGGAAGGGAAGGCAAATTGTTCTTTTTGATGGGTCCCTCCGGCTATGCAGACAGAGGGAAAGCCCCTCCCAGTGCCTGGCCTTTAATTCAAAATACTCTTTGTACCAATGAGTCGTATTCTTGGGCGGCATTCCCTGACCTCCTTTACCTTCAGAGCCCAGGTTGTCGTGAATGTACAGATTTTTTGGAAAAACTGACCTCTTTAGGGATTTTCCTGTTTTTTTAAGTTTCAGTTTGGATTTGTGGCACTTAATTCACATGACTCCATTTTTTTTGTTGTTGGTTTATTTGTTGGTGCCTAGGGCAGGAGCTTGGTCCAAAACAGTGGCTCCTTGTAACTTTGGTTTACCCCGTCGCCAGTGCAGAGTGACCGGCCCCCCACGTCTCCCAGCACTTGTTACAGTCTGTTTTAGGGATAGTAGCCACATTCATGGGTGTGTTTAGGTGCCTTTTCTCTTTTCCACTTAAAAAAATAATATTTCTTTCATTTTTCAATAATAATTAGTTAATATGGGGCGTGTGTGCCTGTTGGGCACTGCACAGCTTCTCAGACCATGTGGTCGGACTGGACCACGCCTCCCTCACTTCCTCACCCACCCCGATTTTTGAGTGATCATTGCTTTTGTGTTTCACAGCAATCACGGACAACTTAGCATCACGAAGATAGGAAGGCAACGTGGTGAGGTCTGCCGCTCGGCTGTGGTGTGCTGGCAGTTCACGAGGCGTGGCTGCCACGCTGGCCTGCTGCTCTCCATCTCCTTGTCTGGGCACCTCTGCGGCGGCGGAGAGGACAGCAGGAATGCAGCACGTTTTCACTGGAGGGGAGAGAATGGGGGAGCTGGTCTGGGTGCCAAGCAACACTCGTGTCCTTGGAGACCAGGCATCATGGAATGAGAGAGAAAAGGCAGTGGGGGAGGGGCAGCTCATCCCCAGCCAAATGCATTTTTCAGGACTAAGGGAAGGGATGTCCCACAGTGTCTTTAATTGATAACCTCTTACGTGAAATCCAGAGGGCCTCCATGTATAACTTCATGTCTATTGTTTGTGTGTCTCAGGCCAGCAGTTCCCAAAGTGCAGTTCCAGGACCTCCGGAGGCCATTAAGACCCTTTCAAGGCATCCACGTCTTCTAAACTTTTTTCTAAAAACGATACATTTTTATTCACGTATTTCTCGTTTTCTCTGCGTGATATGATGTTGCGAGTGTCTGAATTAAGAATCAGAATATACAGGCCATGTCTCTCCGATTACAAAAGACATTAAAGGGATTTGCAAAAATATAAAATGATGTCACTTTTATTGCTAAGTTTCTGATTGGAAAATATAATTATTGTTCATAAAATGTGGGTTATATTAACATGTAATGGATTTGTCGCTGTATTTTAACTTTAAAATTTAACATTTTACCTGCTTTTATTTATAACATGATAAATATAATAGATATTAGCCATACAAGAACAGTGCTTTGAGAGTTTTTCAGAGTATAATTTCTCAGAGGATAAAGTGGGTTCTGAGATGACAACTTTGAGAATGACTGTCCTAGATCGTATCCCTACGTATTATTTTGTGGATTGAAGGGTACACCTGCTGGCCCAAGGTCAGCTGATTCCTTTCCTATTCCGGAGTAGTTAAGTTCTCAACCGTCCTTAACCACTTTTCTCCCTTACTCTTCTCCATATTTGAGGGTATCAGAAGCCCTCTATGAGGTTCACACTGTGTTATAGACTAGGTAGATTTCCCTTCTGTTCCTCTTAAAACAGCTTATTTTAAAAAAGATATCCTGAGGCAATTAACAAAGCAAACATAAGCAGCTTTCTTTTCCAATTCATTACTACATAGACACTGCTCAGGCTTTTTTTCATCAAGTTATGGCTAAGTATATAAATAGCCAATATTTGCAGTTTTCAACAGTACTAGAAAATTCAAAACCTGCCCTATCACCCTCACTCTTACCATTAGTAAAAGAAAAATTGATCAACCATAACCTATAAAAATCATACAACAAAGGGAAGACTAAAGATTGATCCTTATCAGTAAATCCATTTAATTCCAAATGTCACTGATGTATCTAGTACCCTAACGGCATTTTAATTATAAATCTAGAAAAAGCATTTCCAAACTAAGCGTAACTTTTTAGTTGTTGTGCCTTGTTGCTATTAAAAGTGCTATTAACATGCTAAGATGTCTTATGGCACATTGGACTCAACAGCATGTCCTGATGAGACATTCATTTTTAGTATTTTTCCCTAAAATTTTGTCTAGCATAGTAAATCCCTTTGATATATTAAAATAATTCTGGTGAAATCAATGTGACATAAACAAACCTTCCCAGACTGATTTCACTCCATCATGATAGCTTTTAGTGAAACTTCAGTGACTGATTAAGTTAGAAAATGCTCGACCAATTTTTTTAATGGCATCTTAGGTTACTATACTCATGCAAAATCCAAGGTAGTACAATAGAAACTATATTGTTAAAATAGATGTTGTGGCTATAAGCATCTCCCTTTATATTAGGCATTTAGAAGCTTTTAAAAATCTTTAGATGCTGAGAGTTGTGGTAAAACTAGGCTAACTATGTAGTTGTTCCATTTATAAGCACCTTATTACAGGACAGTTACTGTTGGGAACCAAGGCCTTTGAAGTTTTTAACCCAGAAATACCCTGAGCAGAAAATACCCTGAGTTGCCAAAAAGTGCTTAACGACCATTCCAAGAAAAAACTGCAAGATGTTCCAGGCATGCTGCCTGAGGCTGTTTATAATTGATCAACCCTAACCCCCCCCGCTGCCCCTCCCTACTTCATTGTTTCTGTATGCTTATAAAACCAACAAAGGATCTAAGTAAAGCAGACCTTGACAACCCTTTGCTTGGTCTCGTTCCTTTCTCTCGCTCATCTCTTTCAGGCAAGGTCCCCCTTGACCCCACGAGTAACAGAAGGTCCCGCGGGCTGAGACAAGTTACATGACCCTATAAGGGAGTGTGCTTTGAATTCAAGAGAGTAATAAAGTGCCTAGCTATATAAAAACCACAAGACTCTAAATTTTAAATTAAGCTAATTGCAGTTACACATTAGGGTTAACAAAATCTAGACACTGTCTACACAGATTTAATCTAATTGCCCATTCTGCATACTATTTCAATAGCCACATAAAAATCTTACTCTTTACTGACTAAATAAGTAGGATCCACTACTGTAGCTTAACAATCAAATTTTATTGCTTTATTCATGTGGTGTTTTTGCAAGGCACTGTGGTATGGACTAGAAAACTTGGAATGACTCTTGAAGAAACCGTGGAATGACACATGGAGGATGATAGGAAAGTCATTCTGAGGCAGGATGCTTTACTGAATTGTTTTTATCCAGGGTATCAAACATCAGGAATGAGTTCAAGTTAAAATTCACAGGAGAATGGAAACATCTTAAGGTCAGTCACTTCACATGCCCATCCTGATGCTTTGAATAATCTGGAAAATTGCAGAGCCACAAACAACAAAAACGAAGAGAGCCAATAACCAGGGTCCTACAGACGCCTTCTCTCGGGGGCATTTCTCGAGGTCTGGGCGACGTTGCCGCGCTGGGTGATGTTCTTGCTGTGCTTCTCGTTGGCCATACGGATCGGCTGTTCGGTGACCATTTTCGCGGCGCCGCCACCTGCCCCGGCCACCCGTCGCCGACCTCAGCCGCTGGAGCTCCGCCTCGGTGCGCCCCTGCTCCCCTGAGGCTATCAGGCCGGCACGGGCGGCGAAGGGCCCGGGGCGAGCGCGGGACTGACGCTCGGACTGACGCCGGGACTGAGCGCCGGCGAGCGCGAGGAGCGACTGAGCGCGGGACTGACCGGTGAGCGCGGGACCTGAGGAGACGCGGGAGGCACTGAGCGCCGGAGAGCGATGCGCCGGGGACGGTGGAGGCCGGGACTGGCGCGGCGGTGCCGACTGAGGACGCGGGACCAGCCGGCCGCGCCAGGAGCGCGGGAAGAAGAGAGCAGGCGCCGGGACCTCGCGCCAATGCGGGGAGCGTGGCGTGAAAGAGCAAGGAAACGCAGCACAACTCGGACGGTGCAGCCCGCCGCCTCGAACCTGCCAGCAAATTAATAAACCTCCCTTTCCTTCTCCTCAAAACACTTGTCCTCATTCTTCTGAAGCAGACTTGGGGAAAAGTGGCAAGTTTTGGTAACAAACTGACAATTCTTGCCAAATCCATATTATATAAATTATATAAATTCAATATAATTCCCTCTAAAATAGCAACTATATTTTATCATGGAATTGACAGTATGTTGAATTAATTAATGAAACTGGAAAAACTGGCTACCACATGGGTAATAAAACAATTGCATTACTATTTCACTATATACTCTAAATCCACATCATTGATGAAACGTAAATGCCAAATGACAAGTTTTAAAACTTTTAGAATAATAGAAATAGTAAGAGTATCTTTATAGCCAGGCGTGGTGTTCACATCTGTAATGCTAGCACTGTACAAGGATTGCTTGAGACCAGACTTAGCAACATAGCCAGACCCCATCTCTACAAAATTTTGAAAAATTAGCCAAGTGTAGTAGTATACACCTGCTGTCCCATCTACTTGGGAGGCTGAGCCACAAGGATCACTTGAGACCAGGCATTTGAGGCTGCAGCGAGCTATAATGATGGCACTTCACTCTAGCCCAGAGGCAACAGAGCAAGATGCTGTCTCAAAAAAACAAATAAAAAATTAATAAGATAAGAATATCTTCTCAATATTGAAGTAAAACAACATTTTTTTAATGTAAGAACAAAAAAATCCATTAATTGTCTAAGAAAAGTCATGAATTAGGCCTTTTCCTATAATAAAAAAAGAGAAAAACCCAGAAAAGTCATAAATTAGACTACACTAAAATAACCTTTACTGAACAAAATATACCTTAAAGAGTGAAAGGACAAAATTAAAAACTAGAATATATCTGAAGCATATATAACTGACAAAAGTATCAGACATGTACATAGAATCCCTACAAAGGAAAAAGAGAAAGGCAAACAAGTTAATAGAAAAATAGACATTTATCATGAAATGATAAATGATTTGTATTTCAAATAAGAAAACACAAATTGGCAAAAAATCATGAGTTGCTAAAATATTTTAGCAATGATAGAAATGCAAATCAAGAGAACATGAGAGAAAAATAGGAACCAAGGCAAGATGGCAGACTAGAAGCAACCTGCACATACTGCTCTCACAGGATCTAAAGTGGAGAGCACATATTCACCTTCTGATCAAATGTCTAAGAGAGAGCACTGGGAATCAACAGTTAGTAACAGGACACTCGCAAAGTGAAGGAGACGAAAAGAGAGGTGACCTAGTTGGCGGGATCAGAGGTATGCAGGGAAGGTGCCTACAGGTGGGGAAAGAAGAGGGAACCCTGGGGGTCCACAATACCCCCATGGACACTGCAATCAGAGCTGCAGGAGGGCCCCTGTGCAGCAGAAGGCTGGTGGGCTGCAAGGGGGGGCTGACTGGAGACCGTGCACAGCAGCACTGCTCTGGAGAAAAGGCACAGCAGGTTCCTGCTGGCTTACAAACCCTGGGCCCTACAGCTGGCGCCATTTTGAGGTTCCAGTCACAGAATCCTATGTCTATCTGCGGGATTATATACATTGCTGCTGCCTCCCCATCACCCCTGCTGGGCTTGGGAGACAGCGGGGAAATTGGGAGCTCTTATGTGCCCCCACTGCCACTGGAGGAAAAGTTGGTGCCCACTGTGCATGCCCTCAGACTTGGCGTCTGCTGCTGCCATGTGGGCAGCCCCACCCAGTCACAGCTGCCATAGGACCCAGACAGAGAGAGCGCCCATGACCCCAGACACCCCCTGCTGCTTCCTGGATGGCACCACCACTGCTAGACACGGGTGGGACAAACACTCACAATGTGTGTGCCAACCACCCATGATGACCGCAGAGCAATGGGGAGATGCAGGAGAGCAGAAGTGCTAAAGGCTCACAGTGCATCTGCACCTCTCTGGCCTGATCAGTCTTCTGGAGTAGGACTCAAGCACATCATCCAGGGATCTCTCACTGTCTTCACTGAACAACAGAGTTCCTAGCAGAGCAGAACAAAGCTACCTGTGTTTCTATGTTAAGCTTACACAGCTCAACCTCACCTGAAGAGGTTTCAGGTGAGAGGCCAGCATCAGAACTTGATAGAGTGTTGATAGATATGGAAAGGAAAAACAAAAAACAGGCTCTTTTGACACCCCCAAAAGATCACAATAGTTCAC